GTGCTGGTAAGGAGTGCAGTTTGCTCTCAGTTTATATTCTAGTGGCTTGTCCTGTTAGTGTGGGTGGGGGTGGTCTTAGAGATTCTTTGGTTGAGCTGTTTACTGTTGGCTTCTTTGGCAGTTTTTTGATTGGGGTATTGTTTACTTGATTGTAGGTCTGCTGTTAATCTTGGAGTTAATCTTGGAGTCATCTGGGTGCTGATTGCTGGTGGAGAGGTGCTTGGGTCTTTGGCTGGTTGACTGTCTCTTTTGTATAGGGTATAGATGTTGTTAATGTCTATTGATGGCTAAATGTCTATGGAGATTCTCAGGTATCCAGGTCCTCCCAAAGGTGCTTTTTCAGAAGGCAACTGGACTTTTTTGTTTCTTTGGAAACAAACTTTTAGCTTCTCATCCAAGAAGCTTCTTCCCCACCATCTAGTCAAATCTGAAGAAGCTTCTTGGATGAGAAGTGAAAAGTCTTCAAAGCAAAACAAGAAAGTCCAGTTGCTTCCTGAAAAAGCACCTTTGGGACTATTGATAGCTAATTTGTCAGAGTTGCCAGGCTTCTACAAATTCCCTGGCATTTTTGGATTTGGCTTGGTGTAGGATGGTCATATTTTCCCAATTGAAACTATGGTTAAGTTTGTCTATATGTTGTGAAATTAAAGAGTTTTCATCATATCTCCTGACTGTTAGTTGTTGTTTATAGATGTGTTCTGCCAGTCTTCTGCCTGTTTGTCTTATATACGGTAGTGCTTTTTGAGGTCATTACATTGTATATTAAGATGACTCCTGTTTTTTCTTCTGGAATTGCTGGGTCTTTTGGTTTGCTTAGGATATTTTAAAGGGCTTTGGCTTGTGTGCTATGCTTATTACATTTGGTTGTAGTAGTCTATTGGAGGTTTCTGATATATTCTTGATGTATGGCAGTGTAATTCCTTTTAGGGTTTGTGTTAGTTGAGTGCTTTAGTATTTCAGTATGTAAAGCAAAGACTGAATTTATTTCCATATGTTTAATGGCAATTCTTTGCTGAGATGTCAGTATCCTATTCTATGAAGATAACCTGGTCTTTCTCATTTATGATTACTGTTTCTTGGGAATAGATAATTATAAGATCACATTTAATATTTTGCACATTACAGTTTCTCCATCCTCCTTCCCCACTTTTCAATGAAATATAAGAGAATTTGGTTTGTGTTTTTGGCAATAGGAATATAGATAGGTATGTACTTTACTGCTGGTTCCTGTTTTTCTTTAATTTCTCTCTTTCTCTCTCTTTACCCTTCAGATAGCCTATAAAACATGATATGTTTGTGAGTTGATGTCATAAAGGTTTACAGTACATGGTGCACACACAGAGGTTTTTATGTTATACTCAGTATTTATATCAGTAAAGCACTGAAGGACTCTTGTAATTTTTCACTGTGAATCAGGATCATAGCTGTTCCTCAGCATTTCTTAAGAGGATTTCCTGATTAACCTCTGGGCACCCTGTAATCTTTGGGTACTATCTACAAAAATTAAGTCAGGTAAAATCATCCTGGTTCTCCCAACCTGTTAACATTAGTACTGTAGCCATCAAGTCATATTCCTAAATTGATCTTTCAGGTCTTCCAGTGTTGCAGTCTGGACTATAGGGACTGTAATTGAATCCATCCACTTTGTTGCTGGCAATCTTTTTCTCTCCTTCCATCTTTCCCAGAATTAGAGCTTTTTCTAGAGAGCTAGATCTTTCTACAAAGTGCCTGAACCCCATCTTCAATTTTCCCCCCAAAATAGTTTCTGGTGTTGGGTGGGATTGCTGAGCAGCAACAGTATTTTTTTAAGATAAAGAAGCAAATTTGGCTTTGAATGGAAATATCTATCAAGTATGGTTCCTTCCTAGATTTTATAAAGGATTCATGGAAAACATCATGGATAGACCTTTTCTAGTTGCCGTCTCTTAAAGGGAATTTCTTTTTACATACCAGAGACATTCTTGCCTTAATCTGTTTATGGAAATATATGACTCAAGATGAGCAAACACTCCCACAGTTCTGGGAGACTCCCTTGCTATGAAGGGATTATTTTTTCTTTGAGTATCAAGTAGTTTCAGATTTAAGTGGCATAAGGAATTTTTCTCCAGCTTTGCTAATATAAGGATCGGTGAGCTTGTGTTCTTTCTGCTTTTATTCTGTCTTATATTGTGAGAGATATGAGCAGACTGATACACATTCATTTTTTTTACTTCTGCATGCCTGGCCTATATGCATAGCTGAAATGCATCTAGGCAAAAAAGGCCACTGTTTCAAAGATTCTTTCGGAAGAATCTTTGAAACTGTTATAACTTAGTAGGTACCTAAAGCACATGACCTCCTCCTTGCTGACTTGTTTAACTTGTACAATTAACAACCTTGCAGTCATTGTACCACAGGGAGTGACTTGATTATCCAGCCTCTCCCTAATCTTGTTACAATGTGTGTTTAAGATGAGTTGCATACAAGGTCCTACATTGTATTTTGAATCTTAACAGCATCAGTTTGTTCTCTTTGATTCTAGGGATTAAATTCAGTATCTGTCATATTTCATGTGGCTTTTTTCTATACTGCTTGGAGCATGTGGCACAGAGATACTAGACAGTCTAAGAGTCTGATTATTTGGAAATTGAGTTGGTGTGAAGTCACTTTGTCCTGTGTGATATTGATACCATAGCTGTGGAATGTTGGGAGTTGAAGTCCATAAATACAGTATTAGAAGTTGTTGAAGTTGAGAAATACTGGGCTATAATATTATATAGTTTTGAGTGTCTACTGGTGAATTGACAAATTTAATTGTTTATGACACTCTGTGGACACTGACAGCTCTGATATTCTATAGTTGCACCTCTATTATGGCAAAATATTGACCGCCATTAATAGTGCTGCATGGTCACTTTCTTTAGTTTTTCAGGGGAAGTGCCATTTGGATTCCTTAACTAATAGTATCCCTTGATATTATTAATGAAAGCCATGTTGAGAAATATCAGAGGAGACTTATCCTGTGGCAAAAACTGACAGGATGACCTAAATGTTTCTCAGTTTTAGTTTCTGGACTGTCTCATGGCAATAATGCTACTTAACAGGTATGTCTAAGGACAAATTCCTGTGTGTCACAGAACTGAGAGGTTTCTTTAATTGGTTAGCAAATTATGGGTGAGTGATAGTTATACGGTGATGGAAAAGAATTTGCCCAATGGGAGAAATGTAACTGTTAATGAAGGCAAAACTGTGTGTTAGTACTGAGGATCTATTTCATGAATTAATCAGTAATAATGAAAATATGCCAGCTGAAGCCAGAAAGAAGGCAATCTTGTTTTCGAGTTCATATGTGTGTATGTGTTATATGTGCATATTTATGTGTTTTGTGTATATGTATATTAGAATGACTTGTAAGTTGGAATAAAACGACAAACAACTTTGTAATAGTTTATCAGGAATGATTCTATATTATATTGATAATTATTTAAGTTTTGAAACGTTTGCTGTGCAATATATGATATGCAAATTATCCTGATTAATAGAGGAAAACTCCCAGAAAGCTTTCTGTTTTCTACATTGAAAAAAAGTACATGTATAAATATAACAGATTTATTTTTTAGCAGTTATCATTGTACCTTTAGTTAGCATCTCTCAGATGAGACAGGAGAGTTATAATTTTTGGATATTTAGATGAATGAATAAAACTCTGGTGCTGAACCTTGTGCCAAAACGTTTTCTTCAGTTGTTGTTGATAAGCTAACCATTTTCCATCCTGGAAATTTACAACAGCACTGAAAAAAGTGTCTTATGATTGTTTTTCACACTTAAAACCATTGCAGCATCCCCACGGTCACATTCAAATTTCGGATGCTTGGCACCTGGCATGTATTTATGATGGTTGCAGTGTCCTGGGATCGCGTGATCACCTTTTGCGACTTTCTGACAAGCAAAGAAAATGGGGAAGCCAGATTCACTTAACAACCATGTTACTAACTTAACAATTGTAGTGATTCACTTAACAACTGTGGTAAGAAATGTAAAATGGGGCAAAACTCATTTAACAACTGTTTTGCTTACAAATGGAAATTTAGGGCTAAATTATGGTCGTTAGTCAATGACTACCTATATTTATGACAGTTGCACTGTCTTAATGTCATGTGATTACCATTTGTAACCTTCCCAGTTGGCTTCTGACAAGCAAAGTAAATGGGAAAAATCAGATTCATTTAACAACCGCATAATTTACTTAGCAGTTGCAGTGATTCACTTAACAACTGTGATAAAGGTTGTAAAAGGGGAGAAAACTCACTTAACAATTGCTCTGCTTAGCAGTGGAAATCTAGGACTCAGTTGTAGTGGTAAGTTGAGGACTACCTGTATGGATTAGTACTCTAGAACTTCACAGCCCACTTAGTTTTCGTTTTTATCTAAGCTTATCAAAGGTTTGGCAAATAGGAGAATATTACATATTCATAGAGGGAAGGGGAGAGGAAAATATTGGAACAAGAGGGATGGCCTCCCAGAATTGCTCTTTTGTGAGATGAAATTTAATAAATGATAGTAGTCCTCAGCTTACGACCACAGTTGTGCCAAAAATTTCTGTTGCTAAGCGAGACAGTTGTTAAATGAATTTTGCCCCATTTTACGACCTTTCTTGCCACAGTTGTTAAGTGAATCACTGCAGTTAAGTTAGAAACACAGTTATTAAGTGAATTTGGCTTCCCCATTGACTTTGCTTGTCAGAAGGTCGCAAGAAGTGATCACATGTCTCTGGGATACTGCAACTGTCATAAATCTGAATCAGTTGCCACACGCCTAAACTTTGATTTTGTGACTGTAGGGATGCTGCAATGGTTGTAAGTGTGATAAACGGTCATAAGTCACTTTTTTCAGTGCCTTTGTAACTTTCAACAATCACTAAATGAACTGTTGTAAGTTGAGGACTACCTGTAAAACAAAATAGCCTGCTTTTTCTGTGAGTTGTGCAGGAATGCCTAAATTGCTCTCTTTCGTCTTTGTAGCAGGAACAAAATGAGTGTGAAGTCAGAACGCCGAGGGATCCATGTTGATCAGTCAGAACTGCTTTGCAAGAAAGGATGTGGTTACTATGGTAACGTAGCTTGGCAGGGCTACTGCTCCAAGTGCTGGAGAGAAGAGTACCAAAAAGCCAGGCAGAAGCAAATCCAGGAAGACTGGGAGCTTGCTGAGAGGTAAGACTACCCTGAGGAAATGATGGGCTCTAGGTTATTTTTTTCTGTGAACAACAATGATACACTCCACCATCAGCTAAATTACATGAAATATTGTTTGGGTCTTAAGGTGCAACTTTTAGTCTCAGCAGAGTGCATATTCACTGTCCGGAAGTGGTGTGAAATTAAGCTGGTTACAGACAATGGCTTTCATCTTTGATGCAAATATTTTTTTAAACTTAAAATTAAATTTCAAGTACATTTTATGTATATCCTACTCAAGATGATATAGCAGACAGGAAGTCGTTAGATCAGGCCTGCAAACTAAGCAGCCTTGAGTGACCTGCCAGTATTTAAAAAATACATTAAATTCTTCAATGTACTGCTAAGCACCTCAAATGCCTCCAAGTCTCAGTGCCACCACTAGCTCCAGTGTTACCACCATTCCACTACTCTCAACAGCTGTTTGGTGTGACAAGTAGTCCTTTGCAGCTTGCAATGGTTTTTATTTTATCAATGTGGGCCTTTCCCCTCTGAGTTGTGCAGGCCTGTTCTCGGTCATAAGAGTACATCTTTCTGGAGAAAGCTTGAGTGGCTCAGTGAGCACTGAATGGTGTACTATGGGCCATGCTGCTGTTGGGTGGGCTATATTAAGTTTTGTGTAATTATTTTTCTTAACGGGAGGGTTGGTAAAACATTCTTTTCTACCAAAAGGAAAAATACCTGAGTCTTATATTTACTAGAGGAGAGTGCTATGATACTGAAATTGTTCTCTCTAGGTCAGTGGTTCTCAACCTTTTTAATGCCGCGACCCCCAACCGGTCGTAAGTCGAGGACTACTCAACTGGTCGTAAGTTGAGGACTATGCAGCACCGTTTGCAGAATGGGACTTTTGGCGGGCTCAGCAGGGCAGAGACAGCCTGGACAATTCCTATTGGCTTTTGAAAGCCAATAGAATTAGACTCTATTCAAGAGAGTCTATTCTATGGCTTTCAAAAGCCAATAGAATAAAAGGGAGTAGCACAGCTAAGGAAAAGGGGGGAAAAATGGCGGACTGCATTGTTTGGCGACCCCCGTGAAATGGTCGTTCGACCCCAAATGGGGTCCCGACCCACAGGTTGAGAACCACTGCTCTAGGTGTTACATAAACCTCCCAATCTTCAAGAGGTTCTAGCTAATACTGGTACAGAGTAAAGCTGCCTTTGTAGTTTTGGGTTTGGGGCACATTGAATTTTGCCCTAGTAATACTGTTATTTTGGGAGCTGCATTGGTTGCTGATTAGCTTTTGGTGGCAGTTCAGCATGCTGATTGTCACTTTTAAAGCTAGTGTATTCATGATTCAGGAACCAAATACCAATTAGACTACCTTCTCTGGATTGAATCTGTTTACCCAGTGAAATCAGAAAGAAGGAACTTGCTGAAGGTTCCTTTTTGAGGGAATGCCACATAAAAGGACTTGGGGGCAAGTCTTGCCAGTGATGGCCTCTTTTTATAGAACTTCTTCCTGGACATTTGGTCCTCCTCTAACTTGGTTATAAAGATTCTGCTCTTTAGGGATGCATTTGGATATGGAGATGTTTGGCCTACCCATGTGGGTAGCACTGACATATTGGTTGGTGCTTTGTGTTTCTAGTCTCTTTAAACCTATGTTTCTGGTCTTCCATAAGTCACTTAGCACCAGTAGAAATTTAGCAACAAAGACCAGTGAATATGTACATTAGTAAATAATAGTGTAAACAAGAATGTTAACCTACCAAGTGGACTGCAATGATATTTCTCATTGATATAGCATTCATCATTTTCCTGAAGACCATTAGGAAAAGAATACTGACCCACAGACTATCATGGTTTAGTAGTTCCTATTTTGGCACTTCATTGATCTGCACAATGTAGTCAAAGCTCTGGAGTCCGGCTTGCTTGTGGCTATTTTCCATGTGAACCACCTCTAGCTGGTAGCTTTGTGCAATCTGAATTAATTCAGTGATTCTGAAAATGTATCAAGCTTGAAACAATTATTTTGAGGCTGTTTCCGACTTTAATAACTTTCTGAATGGTTGAAATAGCTTGTTTCAAGTGTGTGAAATAATTGCTTTGAACATGAAATGAGGCATTTTGAAGTTGAAATAGTTTGCCTGGATCTAGCTGCAGAATATGTGGATGTTGCTAGTCGTTTGGCAATACTTTTTAAAGGAACTGAGACTGCTTATTATTTTTCTCAATGATAGATTACAGCGTGAGGAAGAAGAGGCCTATGCTAATACTCAGCACACTCATGGGGCTCAGTCACTTACTTTCACAAAATTTGAGGAAAAAAAAACAAGTGAGAAACTGCGGAAGGTGGCAACGGTGAAGAAATTCTTTGGAGCATCTTCGCGTCCTGGAACTAAGAAGGGTAAGGTGGACAGAAGAAATGAAAGAGAATTGTTTGCTTCTTCTTATTATTATGGAAGAGGTTGCTTGGAAGGTACTGAAGTACTGTTTCATTGATCTTCTCCATTTTTAGTGAGCATCTGCTCTGGGCATTCTGCCATCTAAGTCATTGCCTTTGGAATCTTCTACTGTTATCTAGAAAGTAGAAGTTTCATAGTAGTGGAAGGTTCTAGAGTATCTTACTTCAGCATTGAAAGCTTTTCATATACACTGTCTTAATTGTTAAAATAGTAGTACGGCTGATTAAAATATTAAGAGCCAAAAACTGGCCAGAAGAATTGTTTTATGCTGTGGAGAAAACCACATTCTAAACTCTAGAAAGCCATGAACTCTGAGGTTCAGCAATAGTGTGTCTCCTGAAAATACATCACTGGTAAATCTGAGAGGCTTCTGGAGAGGCTTACAGGCAGTTCTTGACTTACAACCATAGTTGGGAATGGAACTTCTGTTGAAAAGGGATGCAGTGGTTAAATGAGTTGTGCCTGGTTTTGTGGTCATCTTGTTGTAGTCGTTAAGAATCTGGCTTCGCGACTTCCGGTGGTTCCAGCGACGATAAATGGCGGCGTTTTACAAAGCCGCCCGTTCCTGGTGCGTGTAAAAGCTGCGGGACTTTGACAATCAGCTGTCCCGCGGCTTGAATCTCCTCCCTGGGAAAAAGGGAGGAGGAGAGCTCTCAGGTAGAGGTAAGAGCTCCCCTGGATCCCTGTTATTTTGGGGATCGGAGGGTAGAGCTCCCTCGGAGCCTGAGCAACTCCGCGTTCCAGGGAGACTTCATTCCGAAGCTTTTGGGATGAAGCAAGTTGCCACTTCCACATCTGCTTTTTTTTTCCAGCTGCTTGTGAGTATTTGAAAGCAGACGGAGCAGACCAGGAGAGACTGTGCTCAAGTTTGATGGTGCCTTTAATTTCAGCAAGTTTCCTCTTCCTCTTCTTTTGTTCACTTTCCCTTTAGAAGAAAGTGAAAGTGAAAAGTAAAATGGCGATCGTCTTTCTTGCCTGATTTGCATTACGAAGTAAAACCTGGATACAGATTAACTCTTTAAATACAGAAGTAAGAATTTGGCTTTTATTCTTTCCTCCTTTTTCTTCTCTATTTTTTTTTCTAAGAATACTTAAAAGAACTGTGCCCTTTTTTTTCTTCTTTTTCTCTTTTTTTTTCAATAAGAATCTTTCTTCTTGGAACTTAAGAAAATGGCTTCAAAACGTCTGCCTCCCGCCCCTAAGGTTCCTATTTCTTCTCCAATGCCTCAGCCTGCATCTCAGAAACCAAAATCACCTCCACCTTCTCCTCCTCCTCCTGCAATTTCTCTTAATGATTTACAAGATGCTTTAAAACAGCATGCCTTGGATATTAAGGAGGAGGTAAAAGATCTTATAATTGCAGAGAGGGCTAATACAGAAGAATTATTGGAGAAAAAGAACAAACAAGTAAGAGACCATATCCTTCTGGCCTTTCAGGGCTTAGCCCTGCACATAGAGAGAATTGATGACCAGATGGAAAAGATTACTGAAAATGCATCAAGGATGGAATTTAGAATGCAGGAGGTAGAGAACAAGATAGAAATTACACAGGATGAACAAATCATTTCACAATATAGGGAGATGGAACATGCATTGCGTATCAGGGGCCTGAGGGAGAACCTTCAGGAAGACTTAAAGATGCTTATTGTGAAAGATATTGCTCCTAATATTGGCTGGTGGCCTGAAATAATTGAGAATGAGATAGAAAAAATTTTTAGAGTTAATTCACGGGTTGCTAGACAGAGAAATCTACCAAGAGATGTGGTTATTTATTTTTCTAGAAGATCTATCCGTAATGAAATTATACAGGCTTTTTACAAACAAAAGTTTCAAATTGCTGATCAAGACGTGATAATTTTAAAAGAGATACCTCCAAAAATTTTAAGAGCCAGAAAAGATTTTACTTTCTTGTCTGATGAGCTGAAACATCGTCAAATTCAGTTCAGATGGGAGATTCCAAGAGGAATAATAGTAAATTATGAAGGGATACGTCACAGATTAACTACTGTTTCCAAAGCAAGAGATTTTTATCAGTCTATCTTAAAAGCAAGATTGTCACCACCTCCACAAATAAGGATAACGGAAGAGTCTCTTATCGCAGGAGCCTCATCAATGATGGTTATGGAACAAGCTGCACCGAATTCTGACATAAAAGAGCAAAGGATGACACGAGCTGCCCATAAACGTAAAGAAAAAGAGCAGTTGCAGAAGAGTGGTGAAAGTTTGGTTGTTACAGAGCCTGTGGGAGGGGCAAGACCAAAAAGATCTTCGACAGTAGATCTGCAGGCCAAGCTCCAGAGGCTCCAGGCCGGTGGAGATGGTCAGGTTCCTGACCTGGAATGTTAATGGCTTAAACGTGCCACAGAAACGAAGAAAGATTTTCCATTATTTGAAGCAACATAATAATGATTTGATATGTTTGCAGGAGACTCATATAACTTTAAAGGATTCTAAATTCTTGATGAATTCCCGTCTGGGCACACATTTTACTGCTCCAGCCCCTGGGAAAAAAGGGGGAGTGGTAATTTATGTGAAGAAAACTTTTTCAGCTAAACTAATTGAGGCTGATTCTGAAGGAAGATATCTTTTTGTGGAATTATTATTACAAGGCCGAAAGGTTCTTATTGTTGGACTATATGCTCCCAATCAACAACAGAAACAATTTTATAAGTTGCTGCATGGCAAGATATCTCAGTTGGATTATAAATCGGTAATTTTGATGGGTGACTGGAATGGGGTTTTAGACCCAACTATAGACAAAAGAAGTTCCTCTAAAACTTTTATTCAAACTAAACTACCTATGACTTTCTTTGATTTGAAGGAAGAACTGGAGCTTATTGATATTTGGCGAGAAAGGAATACAAGTGATAGAGACTTTACCTTTTATTCTGATAGACACCAGTCATTTTCAAGGATTGATTTTTTTTTGATTACTAGTGACTTCCTCCCTAGAGTGAGGAAGGTGAAAATTTTTCCTAGAACATTGTCAGATCATAGTCCTGTGTGGATGGAGTTATATTCGGAAGACGGGAATAGAAGATCCTGGAGATTGAATGAGAACTTATTTAATCGGGAGGAGTTCGTACAAAAGTGTAAAGAACATTTAAAGGACTTTTTTACTATAAATATGAATAAGGGAACATCGATGTCTATGGTGTGGGACGCTAGTAAAGCATATATGAGGGGAATTCTGATTCAATTGAATAAAGTTTTTAGGGAAAAAGGGTCACAAAGACGTAGAGAAATAGAAGAAGAGATCAAATCAAAAGAACAAGAGTTGGTTCTTAACCCTACTGATAATAATTTAAAGGTATCTATAAAGATGCTTAAGGAACAATTTAACATGTTGATGGCAGATCAGGTGGCTACCAATCTGTCGTATATGAGACATAATACTTTTTGCAATGCGAATAAGCCTGGGAGGTGGTTGGCTTATCAGTTACGAAAGAAACAGAAAGCTAGAATTATAGAGAAAGTAAAATATAAAGGTACTGAGGTTTTTCAGCAAGATTTGATTAGAAAAAGCTTTTTGGATTTTTACACAAAATTATATTCAAGTGATAATATAAGGGGTTTGGATATAGATAAATATTTACAATCAGTACATTTTCCTAGACTTTCAGAGGAACAACAAAATGGGATGAATAGTTTAATTACTGTGGAGGAAATTGGTTTAGCTATTAAGCAGTTAAAGGTTGGAAAGTCTCCTGGAACAGATGGACTGACTTCTAGGTATTATAAGATCTTATCTGAAGAAATGATAGAGCCATTAAAGGAACTCTTTAATAGTATTTTGTTGGGTATGCAAGTTCCTCCTTCTTGGAAAAGAGCCTTTATATCACTGATTCCGAAGGAAGATCAGGATCTTACAGAGCCTAAGAATTATAGGCCAATTTCATTATTGAATGTTGATTATAAGATCTTTACAAAAATTTTGGCAAATAGATTAATGCAGGTTATGAAAGACTTGATTCATAGTGATCAAGCAGGATTTATAACAGGGAGATATATGAAACATAATGTTAGACAAATTATTAACTTAATTGAGTACTTGGATAAGAATAATCAGATTCCTGTGGCTTTTATCTTTTTGGACGCTGAAAAAGCTTTTGATCAATTGGACTGGCAATTTTTATTTTCTTTGGTAGAGAAAATGAATTTTGGGGATAATTTTTTACATGCACTTAAAGCTATATATCAGCAGCAATCTGCACAAATTGTTGTAAATGGGGGATTGACTGAGAATTTTAATATTCAAAAAGGGACAAGACAAAGATGTCCATTATCTCCATTGTTATTTGTTTTAACATTGGAAATTTTATTGACTCAGATTTGGGAATCGAAGTTAATTAAGGGTGTAAAGATAAGGAAGAATGAGTATAAATTGCGGGCATTTGCGGATGATTTGGTTTTAATTTTGGAACAGCCGAATCAGGCGATTGATGGTTTATTAGAACTTATAACACAGTATGGGAATGTTTCTGGTTTTAAAGTTAATAATTATAAGACTAAGATATTATCTAAGAATATGTCAGTTAAAGAAAGGGAAAGTTTGATTAAAGCCACAGGTTTTCAGATGGTAAAAAAGGTTAAATACTTGGGAGTATATCTAACTGCTTCAAATGGAAAATTGTATAAGAACAATTACGAACCACTATGGGCAAAAGTCCAAAAGGATTTAAGAGATTGGAAAAAATTGCAATTGTCATTGTTGGGGAGAATTTCAGCTGTAAAAATGAATGTTCTACCAAAGTTTCTTTTTTTGTTTCAGATGATACCTATTCTTAAAAAAGAGGCAAATTTGGAGGAATGGCAAAAGGGTATCAATAATTTTATATGGGCCGGGAAGAAACCAAGGGTTAAATTTAAGATATTACAGGATGCTCGAGAAAGAGGGGGACTTAAGGCACCTAATTTGAAATTATATTATGATGCAGCCGCC